GGTTGTTTTGCTTTTTTCTTTTAATATCCTTCCCCCTTCTTTGTTGTCAGTAGATGTTTAGCACCAGTTAGTGTTGACATAAACTATAAAGAGATATAAATTTAAAGTGTTAATTCATTTTGGTAACTTTTCACCAATTTAAAATCCTGTGTTCTATCTTTTTTGTTGGGCCTGAATAATCCTAATAGCATAGTCCAGCATCTCTCTGTTTTGGTCCGAAGGCTTTTTCCTTGGGTGCTAACCTTTTAAGATGTCCGCCATCTAACTTGACTGCCCACTGGTACTACTCTGAACTGTGTTTGACATTCTTCTCCCCTGCCCCCACCACATGAAAATGAGTTCTTTCCTGTTTTATTTTAGGCCTATGATAATAAATAATACTTTTCCTTGATATTTAATTGAAACATAACACATAACTTTTTAATTTTTCTTTCTTTTTGTTCTGTTGCTACTTCTCTTGCCTCTAGACATTTGTACACAGTTTTGCCTCTGCCTGTAATATCTGTCTTTGGTTTTCTTGGTCACCTCTTAGTTACCCTTTATGGATCTCTTGAAATATCAAGATCACTTGGGACTAATTTCTTATGTATTCCTGGGAAACCTTATCCCTGTCTGATTTAAATGACTAGTTTTCATTTCTAGACTCTAAACCCAGTTTTTATGTTCATGATATACAGCCTTACTTTTAGCACAGTGACAAGCAGATAGTATTAGTTCGTTTTAATTAAAATTTGATAAAATGATCTTTGACCATATAGCATCAATACATTTTTGTCAAAAATATTTCACTCTGTGGAAAGCTCTAAGCCCTGATGGCCTAATGTATTGGGAGTTGTGCATTTGACCTAAAAGGCTATGACTCTGGTATTTCAAATTTCACTGTCTGCTCTAAGGGAGAAAGACTTTCTCCTCCCACTCAGTTTACAACCTCAGAAATTCACCTGTTGAGTCTATTCTGACTCTACAACAGTGAGTAAAAAAGATCCATTTCCCCTAGTCAGATGAGTTCTTCTTATGGGAGATACTCCTCTGTTTACAGCATCTCATTTAATCTTTGACCCTTCACCATTTTAAAAATGAGAAGACTATGTGTTTCCTACTGCCAAAGGGGCCCTTTAGAGTAGTGAGAGAAGATCTTCACCCTGAAACCCACAGCGTCCCTTTTCAGCAGGA